AATCTGTGAATGCTGGGTGCTGCTGTCACCCAAATCTCTGAATGCTGGGTGCTGGGTGCTGCTGTCACCCAAATCTGTGAATTCTGGGTGCTGCTGTCACCCAAATCTCTGAATGCCGGGTGCTGCTGTCACCCAAATCTCTGAATGCTGGGTGCTGCTGTCACCCAAATCTCTGAATTCCGGGTGCTGCTGTCACTCAAATCTGTGAATTCTGGGTGCTGGGTGCTGCTGTCACCCAAATCTCTGAATTCCGGGTGCTGCTGTCACCCAAATCTGTGAATTCTGGGTGCTGGGTGCTGCTGTCACCCAAATCTCTGAATGCTGGGTGCTGCTGTCACCCAAATCTGTGAATTCTGGGTGCTGGGTGCTGCTGTCACCCAAATCTCTGAATGCTGGGTGCTGCTGTCACCCAAATGTGTGAATTCCGGGTGCTGCTGTCACCCAAATCTGTGAATTCCGGGTGCTGCTGTCACCCAAATCTGTGAATTCTGGGTGCTGGGTGCTGCTGTCACCCAAATCTCTGAATGCTGGGTGCTGCTGTCACTCAAATCTCAGTTCCAGCCATTCTGGGTGTTCCCCAGCTTTGGGCAGTGAGGCAGCTCCAACTTGTTCATTAGGGAATTAAATGTTCAGATTTGGGGGAGATTGGGGAATTAAACATTCAGATTTGGGGAGATTTGGGAATTAAACCTTCAGGTTTGGGGGAGATTTGGGAATTAAACCTTCAGGTTTGGGGGAGATTTGGGAATTAAACCTTCAGGTTTGGGGGAATTTGGGCACTGCTGGTTGAACTGGGAGATGTTGCAGTGGGACAGCCCCACCTCATTAATTAGTTCAGGTTTGGGAGATTTGGGAGGATATTGAACATACAGAATATATTGAATATTCGGAATACATTGAATAAGTTGAATATCCTGAATATACTGAACACCCTGAGCAGGGAGCACGGCTTCCCAGCCCTCCCTCCGCAGCGTTTCCCTTTGCAGGGCACACAAATCATCCCTGCGGCCCTAATTCCAGAGCTCCAGTTATCCAGGCCATTTCCTCAGACAATCGTTTGCCTTTTAAACCCCCCCTTAATTTCCCAATTTATTCCCCCTAAACCCTTGCTGGGAGCCGCTGCTTTGTGCAGGAAACGCCGAGCCCAGAACTTTTCACGAGGCCAAAAAATGATTTCTTTTTTCTCCCCTCTCTCTCTCCTCGCTGGTTTATTGTATCCTCTTATCTTGTCATAGAATAGAAATAATGTTTATGGCGTGGTGCCTGAGCATCACCTGGCATTAGCCAGGCTCAGGAGCGGTTTATGGCTCTGAACAGTCTGCTGCCGTGGCCATCAGCCCTAAATCTGGGCTCCCGAAACGGAGGGGCCCACGCAGCTCCTGCCGGGGCCGGGGTGGCTTGGGGCTCAGCTGGGTTGGGGTTTGAGGTGGTTTGGGGTTTGAGCTGCTTTGGGACTGAGCTGGTTTGGG